ATGTTGGAGAAGGCATTCAGGTAACAGCGAAGACGATCAGGGACGCGGAGAAGCTTCTCCGTGACATATACATCACGCGTCGATCGACCTGCCACTTGGAACGGTTTCAGCGGTGATGAGTCGAGCGATGGCGACCCAGACTGAGACTATACTCCCACTAATCGATCCTGTAGATATTGTTGATATGTCGATTGAATGTGTTGAAGTGTTTCTCTTCTAAAAGAACACATTATGTTGAGCACAACAACTCCTTGAAAACTACTGTCAAAAAGTCACGAAGTTTTTGTTTCCGCAGGCAGTAGAAGTAGCTCTGCATGCAGTCTGCACTGCGCGTAGATCTACTGCACAGACTCACATGCACAGCACGCTTCTGCACGCTGCACTGATTCGAATGACACCATACACGCATGTGTCAGGCATACCTAAGTATGCAGATCGCCTGTAGTAATATCGCCTATAGTGATATTTTCACGAAAATCAAACACCAACGCTATAGCCGATCCGTACTGTACTCTTGATCTTCTTCTTCTTCGGTATCAAAACAAAGATGCTAGAAATAGAGACAATTGAAAGGACGATAAATATCTGATTGTTGCTCAACCGAAACAGCTAGAAAGGTGCCGGAAGTAAAATAAATACTAGAGGCCTGTATGGGAGTTATTAGCTTCAAATAGTTTGTGTCCAATCCATTTGCTGATTACATGTACTAATAAAGTCTTGATGCTATACACCTCTAGCTAGCACTACGCGTCCTCGCCTTGTACATGTGTCAAAATCGAAAAACATGACTATTGTTATTGTTTTAAGGAGGTTCGCGACGGTTAGCGCCATGTTGGATTTCCGAATTTTTTTCTGAAAAATAATGCCTTTCGGAGTGGAAAAATGGGACGCGATCATGCACAGAAAATAGTTTGCCATGACTTCGCAGTGCTCGAGTCGGGACAAGATTTGGAGGAAGAAGCTCAGCCACTAGTGGACTTGCGGATTTGTTTTGACATTGGCGGTTTTTGGATAGCTCGGTTCTCCTGCCGACGTGTCCTGGAGATGAAGACGCGGGAGAGTAATCCGTCACCCACGACGCGGCCTCTCACTCTGCGTACTGGACGATTCAAGAAGCCGAGGAGGGGGACGCTTCGCAAACTCAAACGATCGATCGAGTTCCTGAAAAACGGAAAGGGCGATCTCCATCACTAACGCCACTGGATTCGACTCCCGCGAAGAGGTCGTTCAGTGCCCCTCTTCACGGTCGACGAATCGTTCATCTCAGGTATCTGGCTGTGGGATTGTCTGCGTGCCAGAATCCTGGATGTGGCAAACCTCTGGCGCTCATTGATTGCGTTGAAGAGAAGAGGTACGACCTGGGCAGCGTACTTGTCATTCCGTGTCAGCAGTGTGGGATGGAGAATTTTATAGATACAGATAGCCCTGTAACTGCTCAACACCCTGGCCCCCGTGCTTCCACAAGCAACACCAAAGCTGCTTTGGGTAAGTGCGTTTTTCAATCTCATAAGATTTACTTATGATATTTGGGAGTCATTGCCACCCTATGGCTATGGAAATGTATGAGCACACTGTATGCGCGGCGGCCGCGAGCGTGTGTGTGTTTGCATAGACCTGCATGTTTGTGCATGTGTGCACCATATGCATGTATGAACATGCACATGCATAGGCGCTCATGTGGACGTGCCCTCGCACACATACTATACACACGTGCATGACCGCTCCCAGGGCATGTTGGTGTTACATGTGTATGCGGGCATCTCCACTCATGCACATTAGTGTGCACATGCATGTGGGTGGGTACGCACACGTGCGTGAATGTAGGTGTGTGTTCTATTGCATGTGAGAGCATGCATGTGTGTGTGTGTGTGTGTGTGTGCGTGTGCGTGTGTGTGTGTGTGTGTATGTGTGCACGGATGTGTGTGTCGATGGTGTGCATTTTTGTGATTGGTGAACACTCTGATCCCTAAACCGCGATACCGGAGCTCCCAAGCTACAGCCTCAGATTGATTTATAGTTCATCGTTGGGAATGAGTTCGCTGCTCATGATGCTGTTGCGGATGTTGCGGCCCTAGCTGAAATTGTCGAAGCTCGCCCTGATGCCAGTATCCTGTAGCACTCTGTCACTTTTGCATCAGCATGTTCGGCGATGGAGTTTGCAGAACATCAGCAAAAGCGGCTGGCCACCCTTCAACCGTTGGTCCAAGCAACGTGCTTCTCTAAATCAGTTGCAGTGCGGGCAGCTGCCAGTGGGTTGGTGATGAAGCACTTTGTCTTGTCCTACAAACGAAGTGGTGAGCCAGCCATTTCCAGACTGATGAAGGAGCAAGTCGGAGGTAAGAAGCGGGTGACAGTCTCAAGGAAGATTATATTAGTGGTGGCTGAACACCTAGCGAAGAACCAACAGCAACCCAACTGTAAGGAACGCCCTGTGGCACAGTGCTTCACTTGTTTGTGCGCACCATAAAATACCATCATTTTGCCAGTGTGGGGACACGTTCTAGCTCGCATAGTTGAAGAACAAGAGGACTCAATGTTGTCTGATTCGTTCCAACATGTCAGCTTTCATTGTAGTTTGATATGGGGCAGTGCTAAGCGCTATCATAGCTACATGTACATGTATCACAACCAAGTGCCAACAGGAGAGTAATCATGGAGAAAAGTACCTATCGATAATGCGTGCACCCAGGGTTTTCCGGCAAATTTACTAGTTCAGCTATTCCATCCTTGTATTGTTCTGAACGCCGAGGGTTCTAGTGAGTTTATGCAACACCTATTAACAGCCAAAAATCCACTGATAAGTTATGACCAAAGCAGCAGCAGAGAAGTACAAGCAATATAGATACGTGAATTTACCAATTTTAGGCAAATTTTGACAGTTTTTTGGATTTTTCTCCAGAATATGCACGGTGACCCCTATTTTCGCCGCGGTAAACCTGTTCCAACCCACTTATAGAACGTGTTTGAAGTATCCACATATGGGGCAAACTCAAAAATAAGCTGCAAAAAATATTCAAAGTTTCATTTTTTGCGTCTTTTTGTTCTTCTCCAGGAAATGACGACCTGGGTCCCATCATCAACCAAAGTGTACATTTTTCGGTGTTGATATCATCTTAGTCAATACCTCGAACGATCTGTAAAATTTTATGTCATATTTTCTGTCCTAACTGATGTTATGGTCGATTTCTCATCAATTTTGGGATTTTGTGTTATTTTGTGTCATCAAGGAAAATTGTGTTTTTGGCAAGACCTATTCGGGCAATTCAAAAACTGATGTTACTAAGCGAAAATATAAGGCTGTACCTATTCAAACCTGATGTCAGATTGGGCTGATGTTGAAATTAAGTTTTTGGGGCTAACTGTCCCGAACCCCCTTAAACTACCAAGCAAGGCTTCTGTGTATGATGCATGACATAGTAACATTCTAACAATGTGATAATTCATACATGTGCACAGAACAACACGGGCAATCAAAGCTTGTTTGCTGCTAGTTACATGTACATGCTTTCGAAATCATCAGGCTACATGAGTATGGGGTACTGACCGATGACCATGCCGGTGTATCATGCCAGGAGAGGGTGGGTCGTGTAGTGCTGCATGAAAAGCTGTGTGTGAATTAGTGCTGAAACGAGTACGCCGAGTACTCGAGTACCCGCTCGTTGAGTACTCGACTCGATATCAAAAAAGGACTCGATACTCGATAAAAAAATAAATAAAATAAAAAACTAAAAAAACTTGATAGCGACGTACACGTCCGTCGTCCATGTGGCTTTTTTTAAATTTGTGTTTATTGAAGGATATTGAATTGTGTAAATGGTGTGCAAAAAATGGGTATGTGGTACTGACATATATGCGCATGTGTGCTTATAGAGTACTCGATACTCGACTCGATAGTGACAGTACTCGCTCGATAGCTTATAGAGTACTCGTTTCAGCACTAGTGTGAATGGAAGGGGGTCACAGTATTTTTTTACTTTGGGCACGAGACTGTGCAGAGTGTGTGGAGAGTGCGTGGTCACTACCCCTACACTACTGCCTACACTCCTCGGCCCTCCTGCCTACAACCGGTTGTAGGCAGGACTGCCACTGAGGCTGTGTAGGGGCAGTGACCATGGTGACGTGGCTATTAGCAAATGTGTGGCTGGTGACTGGTGTGGGCAGGAGGTACCGGTAGTGGCAGTGAGTCAGGATAAGGTCAAGGACTTATCAGCCCGTCTTACTCTTACTAGTCTTACTCAAGTCTTACTAGTCTTAGACTCTTAGACTTAGGTCACAAAATAGGTGTGTGGATCATGCTGTAGGCAGGAGGCTGTAGACCATGGGACACAGACTCAGTACTACTACTACAGTAGAGGACAGTCAGATGAGTCAGAGCTAGCAGTTACTGTGTGATGTTAGTGCAGCCGGAGTGCCGGACTGTACATCTATGACTATGGCCAAGAGTACACCCAAGCCAAGGGGTTATGTAGTAATAATGACGGTACTCTTGCTATGGCTGATGTGGGTACAAGTAGTGATTGTACCATGACTTGTGTACTACGAGTGCAAACTTCATGACATGATGACTGTAGACTAGTATCAAGAGTACATAACCCCGGGGGTTATGTACTCTTGGTAGTATGTACATCCTACAGACTAGTACTAGTAGTACAGTAGTAGGATGGGCATTAGCTATTTTGCCCATCTTGACTTATTATTATTATTATTATGCTTGTTCGCGTTGAAATCACCAAGCAAGCTTGGCTAAAGCCAAATGAACAAAAGAAAAGAGGACCAAGCGAAGCCAATACTATGCAATAGGCAATAAGGAGCACACACGCAGTCACGCACGCACAGTCGATCACTTGTACAGAATCTCACGTCATGTACTTGTACTGTACTTGCGTCTTGCGTGGGTGATCGCTGAAACCAAGGCAACAAACTTTGAACAAACTGGCGCCTTTTCTCGATGTATCGGTTGCACTTGCATGCGGAGTTGAAAATGTAAAGAGCCGTTGGCGTTGCGCGTAGGAGAGTTTGTACACTCAACGTTGCTTGTCTGTAGTTTGGCTCGTGGTTTGTTTGTTTCCTCGACATTGCTGCCTTGAGCTTGATTGTTTGAGTAAGAAGACTGGTGAAAGATTAGTAGAATGAGTTCCGATAAGTCCAAAAAGTCCCGCAAGCGCAGAAGGGATACTGAAGCTGGTGTGTGATATGTTCGGGCAGTGATAGGCCAATTGGAAATGGATTCGTGTACTCAACACGTTATTATTTCTGCTGATTACCACTGTTCATGTAGAAGACGAAGAGGATGGTGCTGCTGCCGCTGTAATGGACATTCCTCCTACTCCTGGTACGTGCACGCATTAGATCCTCTGAACAAAACGCTTAGATATAGCCACGGCGTTGTGTGTCACCCTATCGCCGGCTGTGGCATTCTCACACTTTTTTGAAATATTATGTACGGCTGTATTTTCATCATTGCCTGAGTGGAGCCATTGTCGATTTTACAAATTCCGATCATGCATCTTCCGTCCTTCACAATCCATTCAAAACTAGCTCGTTTTGGCGCTAAATGTCAATAATGTTTCATTCAAATAGTACGTACATGTGTGCTCGCATCAATGGAGCTTGAGTTGAATTCAATCCTGTTGAAAAGTCATTTGTATTCTGCAGTTCATAGTCGAGTGATACTAGTAGACTGTGTTGTGCCAATTATGTAACTCTCCATCACATGTTATGTATACTAGTATTGTGGTGATGTCACATACCAGTAAGACAATGCTCTGTCTGAAAGGAAGAAAATGGAACTGGAAATCTTTCAACACGATGTTTATTGCTCACTCGCTCAGCTAGAACTTATGCTGGTTGACGGTAACAGTTTTTATTTTCACTGTTTTGTTGTGCAGAATACCAAGCAGTGAATTAATTTAATGAATATTTCATTAGATGTACAGGTTGTCCTTGTCACACATTGTATGACTTCAGCATTGAACTCTCTAAAGTGCGACAGCTTGCTTATTCTGCCTATCTTGGACTGTGTACATAATTGTGTTTGACAGCTTCAGAGAGGAAGAAGAAGAAGAAGAGAAGACATAGTGAAGTTGGAGGTGATGAAGGTAAGACATTTTTCCTTGTAGTACATGTAGTTGCCCCTGTTGGCTGTGAAGCCATGCCAGTTTGTCCACAGTACGAGCACTCTAATTTCAGAAATTTTAGGTGGGATGGCAAAAGGCCAGGTTAGGTGAACAGAAATTTTAGGTACTCTCCTGGTGTCGTTTTCGCGCACAGGTCCGAACGGATTTTCTGCTCCGGTTAACGTGTGTTTTTGCTCTTCTGTTTTTTGTGTCTTTCAGACGACGCTGCTGTCGAAGAGGGTATGTATTTTGTCCTGTGTCACCATTGTATTGCTTGGTTGCAGTTATTTTTCCCAAGAGTTTAGCATGCATATGTACTGGATACACTTTGGTTGCTTCTGTATGGTGTTCTGTTTAGCTATTACTCCCCGCCGTAAGAAGCGTAAGAGTCAGAGAAAGGAAGGTGAGTACGACTCCCTCTTTATTTTGCCAAGTAATATGTTTGCCTGTTTGGTGTATCAGCTCTGCTTTCTTTGCTGTTAGTGTTCTGGTGTCTCATTGGTTATGTTGAAGCTGTGCCTTTGGTGTGCATACCATTATCCAGCAACACAGTAGAGATGCGTGCTGAATCTGCTGATTATGTCTTTCCCATCTCTTTTACCTGCTTGTGATTATGCAGAGTGGTCATCAGAGCTTGATATGGAGCTTCTAACAACATCGCTACCTCTCATCAGCAAGAATGCACTGGCCAAGCGTTCTAAATCTAGCAAAACTACCGATTTGGACTTTACTACCTCAGACATCGGTGCATTCTCCACTGAGGAGTGTAATGAGCGGCTTCGTCAACTGGAAGCCATTGTGAGTGAAGGCGCTTGTATTCCCGTTTTCTTTGTATGTGTGTGGGGGGGGGGGGGGGGGATCATGCAGCATCTAAAGTCTATTTCAGGCTGTGCTCAATGACGTCACTCCTGCTGTCATTTCTCCCCCAGGCACGTATTGTTTTCCAACAGCTTTACCGTAGTTTTGTATCTGCCTGCCTACTACTAATGCTGCCGTTGCTGCTGCCGCCGCCGTCGCTGCTGATGCTGCTGCTGCAGCAGTACTCTGTTGAGGTTGTCCAGTGTCAGCAAGATAGCGTCTTACCATACAGTATGTCTCTTGGTTATTTCGGGATAGTTTTTGTTTGGATTCCTGTATTGTAGTGTGGTCTGCGAGGCTGGTATCCGTAGTATCCAATATTTCCTTTCTGTTATTTCTGTTCTTTGTACCGTGTGTCATTGCGATCAGGTAAAACCGGTAAAGACACGTCATCAGATACTGTCCGAAGCTTTGGACATGGTAAAGGGCAGGTCTGCAACGTATGTCAACAAGATGTTTGTAAGTTCAACTCTGATGCGTAATGTTGCATGTGATGTGTGTACAGTGATGCTGAGCCAGGCATTAGTGTATTTGTGGAGAGATGGATGCCGATCTGCCTGGCACAGGATTAGTGTTGTGCCCTGCTGCTGCTGCTGCTGCTGCTGCTGCTGCTGCTGCTGCTGCTGATGTGGAGTAGAGCCTCAGGAAAGTTGGTGTGTATGTGTCGGTGGTGCCCTTCTCCTGCGAAAGTATTCCTGTCCAGTTGTTATCACAGGTGTGTACTGAGGGAACACTACAGTGAGTCATGTTGCTTGCATGTACTCTCACTGGGCGGCCAGAACCTTTGTAGGGCACAGAGAAAAAGAGCGTTAATTCTTATTCAAAACGTCCTGTTGCCTGGGCCGTGCGCAGGCACATGAACGTTGTAAATACCACTTTGCACGTACCAGCTGGGCTCTATCATGATGTAATGGAAAATCCCATTTTAGCCACTGTTCATTTCTGTAGGGCATGTTTTGCTAATGTATTGCTATTGTGCGGGTGTTTGTTTGCTTGTGCATTGCCACTGTGTGTTGTCAGTCGGAAGCATGCCCCAAGAGACCCGCCAGCGCCTACATGCTGTTTTGCAAAGATCACCGTGACGGAATCCAGGTAGAGGGCAAACCGTCCGCCGCCATGCAGCTGCTTGCACAGAAATGGAGAGAACTGGGCGATCGGGAAAAGAGCAAGTACTTGAAGAAGTCAGCAGCGGAGGGCGTCAAGTACGATTCAGAAATGTCCAAGTTCAAGGAGGCCCATCCTGACCTGTTCATTCCCAAGAAAGTGTAAGTTTTGAGGCCCCTATGTTGTCTTATCTTGTGATTGCTACTTTTAGACATTGTAGCGTGGTGCTGTTATGTGCTTGCTTTTATTTCATTTCACCAAGTGCTGCGATCGAGCTGTCAACGTTCTGTGCTTCTTACAGAACTGTACCCATGTAGCTTAGGTACTTACAGCCTGTGTGTGTGTGTGTCTGTCTGTCTGTGGGTGGGTGTGTACGTTGTGCTTTGTCTTCAGGCCTGGTGCCAAGGGCAAGAAAGCGCAAGTTGGCCCAAATCCACCACCAAGGTATTTATATGATGGCGATGATGATTTTCTGGCTGGTGTTAGTGGCCTCTCAAGCGTACAATGCATTTTTGCTTTTGAATGGACCACTCATTGCCGATTGGCCAACAGGGAGTCGTATAGCATCTAGGGAGACACCACAGGTGACTGAAACATAACATGATTTGGGTTTCGCTTCGGACTGCCTTTTCAGCAGGGCTGATGTATGCACACTCCCATATGGCATCATGGAAGTGGACTGCGATTGGAGACATCTTGGAGCCAGCAGGTCTAGGCCGCTATCGCGAATTCCATAGATAGCGGATCGCATAGAGCTCCCAAATCCGGCACCATAGTCTCGCGCTATCTCCATAGATAGTAAGACTCCCTTTTTGTCCAGATGCTACTGGAGCTGGCGAGGCAGTTAGATCTTTCTCTAGTTTCTGGGTAATGTGATCCTGATGACGTGATATCACCAAGAGTACGTAACCCCATGGGGGGGGGGGGGGGTATGTACTCTTGATATCACTACTGGTACGGCTGAGCATCCTACTTGACACTGATTCCTCCATTGGACACTGTGCAGGCATGTGTCCACAGTCAAACCTTAGAAGCTTCATTTCATAGCGGTCAGCTGGCCTACTTCACCTTTGTCTGCTATCTCGTTTGCTTGTGAATGCTGTTGATCGTGGTTCAGTGCACCCAATGGACGGGAACACTGTGGCATATGCGGGATTGGGATTGTAGTGTGCGTAGTTCGGAGGTATGGGTACTCTTCGGCCCCGACACTCCCGGATAAGAAAGGTTCTACTGGGTGTGGCCTGTGTTTTCTGTGCATGGTGGTGATCCGTTTTGACTTCTCACCTCTACTTTTTGGTGTTTGTGCGTGCAGATCTGCTCTGGCAGCATTCAAGGTTGACTACGGTGCAAAGCATAGTGGCGATACCAAGGATGCATCTGGCCAGGCCTGGAAAGACCTGGCCACCAATGCCAAGGCACAATGGGTGGAAAAGTGGAGAGCTGTAAGTCAATCTGGACATCTGTCACAAACACTACTCTGCTTGATTTCTGTGTATCAGTGTTGCTCTTGGGTGTTTGATTTCTCATGAACTGGCTGCCAGTGCTTCCACTGGCTATCAATGATAGTGAAGAGTTTACACAATGCAGCGGTGCAGCATTGCCGTTTTGTTGTCACTTTGAAGAGCGGAAGTGAAGAGTTGACAACAATATGAATCAGTGGGGATATGTAAAACAGAGCAATGGGGATATGGATTGAAAATGTCTACCGTGTTCACTAAAGTGACATCCTTGCTACTGCCAAGGTTTGTGCTGATCAAGTGTGTGTGCATGCTTCCCTTTATCTATTCTTTGTGTGTCTTTGTAGATGGTTGTGCAGTATCGTGCTGAGCTGACCAGACTACGTTCGGTGAGGCTGTTGTCTATTGTCATGCTATCGATTCCCAGTGGCCATGACATGCCTATGGTCGCATCTGAACAAACATGAACACAACTGGAGGGGGAGGGGGGGGGGGGGGCACATACCGTCTCTCAGCCATGGCCAGCTACCTATTCCAGAGATCACTGTGCTGCTATAACACCGTATGCAGTGTATTGCGATGCCTTGTAGTGACTGGGCTCATGCAGGTAGACTGGCTGGTTGGCTGGCTGACTGACTGACTGGCTGACTAGCGCCTGCCTGTATACCATGGGTATGAGAGGCTAGAATGAGCAAGAATCCCTTTGCTAACCCTATGCCTACTAATGATAAGATACAGGTAATGTATATGCATTCCATGAACATGAATATTGCACAGTTGCATGTTAAGGTTGCACTTTGTACACTGAAATTGAGACCCAGTCTATAACGTTACATGTATCGATGTGGCTGCTTTGTGCATAACTGATACACATCTATCTCATGTATCAATCTTTTTTTCTTTTGTATTTTGAAATTTCCGACTTCTATTTGAACCCTGCGTATATGCAAGACTCTATTATACATGGCATGTATGTGGAACATTGATGCTGACTGCTGCTTTCCTTGAACGTTTTTTTCTTGTCATGTTATAGTCCGCCAGCACAGAGGACCAAGAGCAAATTGATAGTTTGCTGGAAAAGCATGTAAGTGCTGGTGTTATGGTGTGTGTGTGTGTGTGTGTGTGTGTGTGTGTGTGTGTGTGTGTGTGTGTGTGTGGACGTGTGTACTGGCTGTAAGTGTGGGAATTTATCTTGTAGACTGTCTGGACAGGATCAAAGCCTCATATCTTTAATTTTGGGGAGGGCCGGTCACACCTTTGTATTAGGTGTCAGCTTTGTGCCTTTTCTTGTCACATGGTGAGGTGGTAAGTGAGTTGAATGACTATGCTGGTAGAACCCTGAGTCATGATAGTGGTTTTTTCTCACTCATATACATGTCCTGATCTTCCTTCATTGCTGGATTGTTTTTGTTGTGTTGTTGTTTCTTCAGACAATCCGGAAGACAGTCAACCAGTAAGTATGGTGGTTGTGGTGTTGGTGTTAGTGGTGTTTGAGTCACTGGCCTGCTGATAACATCAGTATTGTAGACATGCTTTCACTATCAGCAATAGTCCATACTCCCCAGGGTGTGCAACTGACAATATCCCAGCTCCAGGCAAAGTGCCTATTCTGTCGTATGTCGTCCAGTGGTTAAAAAAATCCTTTAGCTTTTTGAAAACCCATAACTGGAGTGTCTCTTCTACGCAAGGTCCAGTGGAAGAGATTCCGTATTTACTTGAGTTCCTTGCGTAAAAAAGGAAAGTCTTTCGAAGAACCTGGACATTTCCCAACACATGCACGTGTTCCAGGACGTGGACTTCGAGGTGAGGACATTATAGTCTGCATCCATGGAAGCCTGACCACCTTTTCTACTGAGATTCGTAGCATTGACGATGACCGCTGGAACAATTTTTTTAACCCTTTGGCTCCCCGCTAGACTTCAAACAGCCATAACGCAGTCAAACACTGCACTATCGTGAAAAGCGAAGTCCTCAGCTTTCCGTTATCCTTTTCACGATAGCTCCAACAGGTGTTGAGATATCGTGCTCGAAAGTTGCGCGGCGGCACTTTTCTCGCTCCGAGCGCGTTTTCGAGCATGAAGCGGGGAATTCCCCTTGTTCTCAATTGCCTGTGATTTTTTGCGTAAATCCTGGTGCTGGCTACCTGCTGCGTCAGTACAAAGAAATCAGAGCTGGGCGAGTAAGGAAATTGAAATGGCTGAAGACAAATGGGATGGAGGGCATTCCCTGCGATATGGTGACTTCGCTAGTCTGTAGAGTCGGGCATGCAACTCCGATTTCGCTCGATGATGGCTCATTGTGTTCACGCTGGGAAGAGCTTTCCAAAGAGCCCAATATTGTGGAAATCAGGCTAATAGAACGTAAGTTATGGCCAAATTTTGACACGATTTGAGCGAAAATTATGGCTATTTCTTAATAGTGGAGTAATGGGGGACCCAAAGGGTTCGGAGAATGCGTTTGAACTTTGCTAAGGTCAGTAAGGATTCTCGACCTTCATTGCAGCCATTTACGCATTCCTTTTCTCGATGCAAATGCTACACATGGTCTCTGCTGCAAAGATCACTTCGGGTTCACCAAATTTTCGGGCGTGGCCCTTCATCAGGGTGAAACAGAGTACGTTTGGACTGTCGTAGACGAGACACGGAGAATCTAAGGTCGAGCTGTCAAGAAAGTAAAGAAAAATCAGCAATTACAGCTTTGGCTTTGTTGCAGCGTTTCCATCTTGATAGAACCAATTTTTTGGCTTCCACAGCCTGGTCTTCCTCCAGCTGCAGTGTGTGTGTGTGTGTCTGACCCAATAACTGTGCGGAATGGATTGCGTCAGGGCTGCACGCTCGCACCAATGCTCTTCAACTTGTACTTCTCTGCCGTCGTTGCCAGTTGGAGGTCCAGTTGTCCGGACGCTGGCATATCCTTTCGATATAAAGTCGGGAGGAAGCTAGTTGGTGACCGAACGGCGAAGGGCAAGCTCCTGTCATCAACGGTCACAGAATCCCAGTTTGCTGACAACGCTGCACTCTACGCAACATCTCGGCCTGCCTTCGAAGCGATGACTTCCAGCTTCATCACATGTCCAAGCAGCTGGGGCCTAACGGTCAGTGTGAGAAAGACCAAGGGTATGGCTGTGGGTGAGTCTGCTGATCGCCGTGACGTTGTTGTTGGAGCAGACACGATTGAGGTGGTGGACCAATTCACCTACCTTGGCAGTGTGCTCTCCTCGGATGGTCTTGCCTGTGGTGATGTCCGCTCTCGCCTTGCGAAAGCCTCAGCTGTGTTCGGAGCCCTCAAAGCTCCTGTCTTTGATAATAAGACCCTGTCGCTTCGCAGCAAGAGGCGTGTCTATGAGGCTGTCGTCCTCACGACCCTCTTGTATGGTGCGGAGACGTGGACCACCAAGGCAGGCCACCTCCAGAAGCTAAACACGTTTCACCATCAGTGTGTTCGGTCCATCATGGGTATCGGCCGTCGTCAACAGTGGGATGATCGGATCTCAACGGCCACATTAGCGGCTACATTCGGTGTTGACCCTGGCATCACCAGCATCATCCGTCGCCACCGGCTTCGTTGGCTGGGTCCCGTCAGCAGGATGGACGACTCGCGCGCACCGAAGCAATTGCTGTTCGGCGAGCTGCCTGCCCCCCCCCCCCCCCCCCCCCCCCCGTCCTCGTCACGGCCCGAAGAAGAGGTGGCGAGATGTGGTGTCGACTGACCTGGCGGACCTCGGCGTGACCACCTGGCTTGAGAGTTGCCAAGATCGTCCCGGCTGGAGACGAGTTGCGAGTAGCACTCCACCGCCACGGCCCACTCCTGATCCTCTTCTATGTGTCTGTGGACGCCCGTTTCGTCGACCAGGAGACCTGAAACGACATGCCAAGTTCTGCGCTCATGTTCTCGCTTGAACTTTCCGACATTCGCTATCATTGCGTACGCAATGCGCAAGATCAAGGTCAAGGTGTGTGTGTGTGCGGCAGTAGATGAGGTAGAAACGGCATTCGTATTGAAAGCACTTGAAAACATCGGCAGAGAAAAAAGATAGCCAACGTGAAATTGGGTCAATGATCACTCGATGGAAAACACGATTGAGAGTTTCAAGACACTGCGGCTGAATGTGCTTCACTGAATTGTGTCGTTGCCATGGAAAAAGCAGAAGTTTCCATGGGTCTTCAGCTGCATGGCTGGACATTGTGCACAGTGTGACCACGGTCTCTACCAGGGTAAAGCTGTGTTCACAACTGGCGCATGTACGCGTGAAACCACGCGTTTGTGCGTATTTTTGCTGGCTTTTGGGGCGCCATGCATACGGAAACGCGCCAAAATGGAACTTCCAACATGTTGGAATTTTCAGCGCGTATCAGCGTACATGCCAGTCACTTTGACTGACGGGGTCAAAAAATTAGTACTCGAAGGTGTCGCACGCGCTAAATACGACTCGGATTGCTGTTTTTGTGAAAGGTCGAGCGCACGTTTGGAGGCGCATGAACCGCAAGCGTGCCGCGTCCACGCGCCAGTTGTGAACACAGCTTGATCCTTGCACACTTTATGTTTCGCACGGGGTCACTGGTCAAGAATACTGAGTACACGGACCAGGGGTTTCACATGATGTACTCCAGTCGCTGGTACTGAACAGGAGTTGCACCCTCCTGGGGGTCATGGACTCTGAGTAGCAGTCGCAGCTCCACCATGACTTGCTTGCCTCACATGTTACCGCACTGGCACGGCTACTTCAGTCCGTCAGCCTGTCTATCTTTCTCCCAGGATCAAACTACATTGCCGGTGTTGTGGTCAGCTAATTGTCGCCTTGGTGTTGTTTTTGTGCGCAGGGTTGGCTATGATTTGTTTGCTAAGACCAAGCGTGCTGAACTGCGTGCTTTCCACCCGAAGGACTCCATGAAGGACATTAACGGCAAGCTGAAGGTTCAGTGGTCTGCATTGCCCGATATTGACAGGCAGAGATATTGCCAGCAAGCTAAGGTGAGACATCCTCAACAATTATAAAATAGAAGCTGCTATTGCAGCTGCGACTATGCTCCAGGATTAGATCTAGTGATTAGATCATCTGTGACATTTCTATTGTTGTTGATCTCTTCTGTGCAGCTATTGCAAGACGATTGAGTGCATCGCGACGTAGAATCATCTCGGTTACACGCCCCTACCTGCAATCACATGCACCAGAGTTATATACACACACGCATGAGTGTGATGATGATGCTGCTGATGCGTGTGGAGCTTCGCTGCGTGGCTATGTTGTCGCGCGTGTCCTGCACTAGCACTATTACTGCATGTCTACACTTGGCTGTCAGCGTCACTACAGCTTGTGCTGCCTGTGCAGTCAATCCCTAACGAGATGCCATTTTGAAATCACGAAATATACATGAGTGGAATCATATCGAACTGCATTCTAACAGAAACATAGTTAATCGTCATCTCTCTTTGCTGTGGATGGGAAACAAAGACATGCTGGAGGTCTGGTATTTTCTTCCTCTCCCTTTCTCTTCTAGGCCTCTTGCCATTAGCGTTGTTACTTTCATCGATCTTATTTCTCCTGTTTCATTTAATGTTGTAGTAGTACGTGTCGAGTATCCGTACTGATGGTGGTGGTGACTCTGCGCAGTTGTTGATTTCTTTTCTTCTTCTCCTCCTTTTCAATGGTGCTTCTGTCGTTGGTGTACCAGCGGGTATGACAGCATTGTTTTAGCTGTTTGTAGCAAGCTACAACCTCCAATAGGATAGTTCTTACGTATAGCCCATTACCAGACTGTGTGTGTATGCGCATGCGCACCAGTCTTGCTGCTGCTGCTGCTGCTCGTGTTGCCAGCGATGTGTGTTCTTTTTTCTTTCTTTTTTAGCGGTAGAGGCTTCTCTCTGGCATGACAGCACATTCTGTGGATACATGTGCATTTTATTTTGACTTGTAGCACCACCCGTACATGTATTCGTGTAGTAATATAGCTTGTGCACACATTCTCTTCCTTCGTCTCTGAGCGGCGCATGCTCTGACTTGCTCTGCTGAGATTCTCTCTTGATGGGATTAGCGTGCTTTGCTCTCTCTTTCTCTCTCTCTCTCTAATCTTTGTTCTGCTTGTGTTGATCACATCTGCATGCTGTCGTGCCTGCTGTCTTTTCGTTTGTGGATTTATGACCAATCAGTGAATCGGATCAGCATGGCTTTCAGGCATAACCCTGTTGTACACGTATGATGTGTATTTGAATAGCTACTCCGGCTGTATCGTGTGATAACTAATGACTATGATTATTGATATGATTGATCATCAATGACTATAACAACAGTGCAAGATGATACGCTCTCATTGTCGGTGTGGACGCATGAATGCAGGCCTTTTTATCTGAACGGCCTGGTCGCACTGAATTCAAGGGCCAGGCGGGTTTTTGCTGTCTTTCTTCCTCCAGTAGCGCCATGTATATCAAAGACATGGCCACTGCATGTCGTCAGAACTATGTCTTGTACACGTAGGTTACGTTGACCACCTGTCCTGGTCTGTTTTTCATAAACTTTCATTCCTGTGGAAAGCCTCGGAGTCCAAAGATAACAACGGTGCACGAGTACAGTCAACTTCGCTTATAACGACACTCGGCGGCGGGGCATAAAAAAAGTGCCCTTATTCGCGAAGTCTCGTTATACCGTGTGTCAGCGCCTTTACAGCCATGGCCTTTATTCGAAACACCCCTGCTTTCCTAGATATTTTAGATGCAAGATGACTCACCCACTACGCCATGCCATAAAAGTCAAAGTCCACACAGAAATTTCAATCTAAATCCACTTGTTCACCCTTCCTGCTGGGCTGTAAGTTTGTTAGGGGCCGTCCGTAAATACCGATGTTTTTTTCAAGACGATATTCGTTCATTTCTCCCCAGACTCCCCCCTCCCCGCAAAACGAACATATAATACACATGTTTATGCAAGGTATCGATATTTTTTAATTATTAAAGTTCAATTTCCTCATGAAACGTGACCAGCTGCCACTCTAATTTCACCATACACCTAGGTTTGTGTTGCCACGGTCGCACAGCCTTGCCATGGCTATGCTCACGAGGTTGACTTTCACTTTGTGTAGGTCATAAACTACATGTTCGAACAGCGGCCGTCCATAGATAGAGTTCGATATTTTTTCTGCAAAGACGAGACGAACAGGGCCCAAATCCCCTCCCCCCCCCCCCCCCCCCAAACGAACGAATATCTTCTCTGAAAAAACATCGATATTTGTGGACGACCCCTTAGTATAGTACTTATTCCTTCATTTTTACAAAACATACTTCAAATGTCTTTTCATTTATGAAGCCCATGGCTTTATAACTGAGACTGGCTTTATAATCGAATATACCGTCATGGCTTTAAAGGTGCGGACATACGGTATGTATTACAGTTGGAAGGGACTTTGCTCTGGGCATGGAAATGCTGTCGTTATATCTGCAGTCGTTATTAGCGAAGTTGACTGTACATTCGAATGTTTTTTAAACAATTCTTATCCGGCCGCCTTGCCTGTAGCCCAGGGCAGCACGTCTACATTACTGTACTTGTCTGGTCAGATTTTCATGAAGATTATTTGACACGACTACATTAAACTGTGTTGTACTTGAAGTACGTGCATAGAATAAAAAGAATCTGTTGCCGTGTTGGTGAAATGTATGATGCAGGTAACAGTGACAAGAGTTGAGCATGTGTGTGTGCGTGTGCGTGTGTGTGTGTGTGTGTGTGTGTGTGTGTGCGTGTATATGTGTGTGTGTATGTGTGTGTGTGTGTGTATATGTGTGTGTGTGTATGTGTGTGTGTGTATGTGTGTGTGTGTGTGCGTGTGTGTGTGTGTGTGTGTGTGTGTGTGTGTGTGTGTGTGTGTGTGTGTGTGTGTGTGCACTGGCTGTTGGTAACCACCCAGGAGAATGAAAGAAAAGACTAAGTCAGGAAGAGCCAGTGCATAGAGCCAGTGCATGCCGGAGTATGTGGTGTGATGTGTGTGTGTGCGGGGGAAAAAAAAAAAAAATGAAAAGACCAAAAATAGGGATTCACTGGCCAGAAAATGTCACTCCAAATAGCTGTATGGTGTAGACCAGGCTGAATAGTGACGGTCAATTCTTCAGCCTTGCAAGCTGTTGAATGGTGTAATCCCAGCACAAGTTGCTATGGCTTCTGCCGTAGCATTGCTATCATCGCCTCCGGCGATGGGCGTCAAAGGTCAAGGTGTGTGTGTGTGCGTGTGTACATGTACCATGTACGACACAAACCCAAATCGAAGCGGAGAGCCTGAATGTGCACACGGATCAAACAGAGCCATTGCACTAGAAACCATTGAAGCACTTTTGCCATAGCAAATCAAGAGATGCTTGTATCTCAGGTCGGCAGCCGGATAAGAGATGTTTGAGTGTACAAAACTGCCCAGATCCGACCGGACGTCCCTAATCCGGGCTCCTCCGTCCACCGGGCACCTTTCTGACACATCTAGAGACACAAGAATATTCTAGAATTGGCAGTTCAACGAAAAAACGGCCCCAAAAACTACTGATTGGCAATACAAATGTTTATGTTGATTCAGCAAGTATGCAAGTTCTGAGTAACCATGGTTACAGGCAATTCCTAGTTACGGCAAGTGCTCCGAGCAGTCCCAAGGTGCCCAGATAAGAGACGTCCGAGTGTACTGACAAAAGAACGAGATCATTTACATGCATAATATGCCTTGCATTCCGGGGCAGGTGTGCGTAATCGGCATGCAGCAGCTTCTATACTCTTTGCATGGTCTTTCTCTATAACATGGACGAGGCCAGAACATAAAGCAACACTTGCACACGTGCAGCAATACAGCCTCGGTTGCTAGAATATATTTAAAAAAAAGTATTTGGCGTTTCTAAAAGGAGATAATAGAAAAGAGAACGTGTGCAATGAACGCGTGTTGTTGATACTGGTGCTCAATATGGGATGGCAATTCTGCGTTTAAAAAATAATTATAGCAGCACGACCATTCATTTGCCGAGCCAGCAGTGCCTCTTCTCGTGCATGTTCTTACATTCGTTAGTTATCGATCGTGAATCTGCACCTGTCCAACATCATCCATGACTTGCTGCTCCTTGATGACGGCAATCATGCAATGACTTGCCGCTCCTGGATGTTTCCTTCTAGGCGACAATCTCGCTCGTCTTCCACCAGCTTGGCTCCGGACTGGTGGCCAGCTGCAAACGGTCATCACTTCGCTGTGCATCGTCGTAGTTTGCCAACTACAGAAAAACAGAGAAGAATTGAATATGACTCATGTGCTTGTTGCATGTTGAAGCTTTTTCGAGTTCAGGTATGCAGCACACTGTGATACGAGTACACTTGCAGAGGATTCCCACGTGGCGTGGACACGCGGTTGACAGACGCTCAAATCTGGGCATGTGCTTCACACAGCTGTAGGGCAAGCAAATTGTCCGTGGCATGACCGCATGTACCGGTATGTGTATGAAGGGTGTGCGAATGATGTCATGCCGGCTGGGTGCTCTCCTGGGATTGGCACTCTATCCACTATCCCGTGCTGAACCGCTTGTTAGATAACTGATGTGGTTGGATAGCAGAATAAGCAGGGCGCGTCCTAACCGGTGCGGCAGGTCCGGCCAAAGACGCACCAATAATTTCATCTTGTGACTTTTGAAGCAATGAAATATGGGCCCAATTTCCCTAAATTTCCGGGGGGGGGGGGACCCCCACCTACTCATGCGGCCGCACCAATATCAAAATTAATACCTTCCGACGCTCCTGATAAGGTAGTCAATCGAATGACCCAAAAAAGGAGAATTAGTTCTGGATGGCCATACACGGAATGATAGTAGTTCACGGTCAAGGTGATATTCCACAATGTGCACTTACCAAGGGATGTGGCTTCAGTCCTTTCGGCTTGACAGGGAATTTCCCTCCGTTTCCAATCTCATACACTCTCACTTCACTGCAGGAGCAGCAGACACAGAGATCACAGTCATATCACAGAGATCACAGTCATATCACAGAGATAACATACACAGTTAGAAAATACAAAAGTTAAAAGCCAAGCATGCAGTAAAACTCCCCGTTTGTAATGCGCACTTGTCCCCAGATCTGAGCACTTACTGACTCTTCAGTATAGTCACAAAATGGGCTTTTCAACGAAAATGTCACCCAAAATAATTGACTGGCATAGCAAAGTGGCTACTTGCTTGCAGTCAGGGAATCAGGGCGTATTAGGGCGTATGCTCTGACTTGTGGGCAATTCCTCGTTACAGGCAGGGCCTGGTCCCAACCTACCTGGAATAACGGGAGTTCTACTGTGTTGGTAAACACTCAACAACAACAACAGTACTATACTGGGCCAGGGGTGACTCTGATGCACTAGGGCTAAGTCACACTCTGTCAGTGACTGTATGCTGTTGCTGTTGAGATAGATGGAATTTTGTCTGCACATCTCAGTTGATAGAAAACATCACACACAATGTTGCCCACACTAAAGTTTGGCTCACATACGATGGTGGCAGGGCTGGCAGGGCTGGCAGGGCTGGCAGGGCTGGCAGGGCTGGGAGTACCTCTGACCACTCACGTATACATACCGAGTCAGTAGCACAATATTCGGGGATCCTCACCGACCCGCACTGTACCCCGGTGTCTCCAACATACAGTACATTGTACCCCCTCCCCGTGCATCTATAGCTCAGACGTGCCGGTCATGGTAGCCGATATGTCCAGCAATAGGATCTTACCAAATTCTTGCGTTCGGAATGCCGTTTGTAGCCGTGACGGTGATGCGGACACCAGTACACTTGGCTGGGTAGCCAATCTGTGTGGAACACCAAATATGATCACATGACATGCCTAATATCATTTTAAAATATGATTTGGGGCCAAATACGATATTATGCCAAATATGACATCGTGCTAACAAAAAAATACTAGTATGATATCGTGCTAAATACGATATCTTGCCAAATATGATATCGTGCTAAATATGATCCCATGACATCGTGCCAAAATATGATTACATGATATTGTGCCAAAATATAATAGCATGACATCATGCCGAAAATATGATATTGTGCCAAATCAGATCACACGATGTAATGCCAGACATGATCGCATGACATCACTTACACTGAAGTCAGTTCAGTCACATACATGCCGCAGTTTTACGCAATCTTCTAGGAGGCTTTCCCACCGTTTCAACACAGTACACAAACCATTCTCGGCATGAAGTACTACTGATTGTACGACCATGGTACGAAACACCTCACTGGACTCGGCGGTGGTTTCGTTGTTGACAGTTTAGAAGTTTTGGTCTTTGACGACTGGTTGGTGGGTCTCATCTGCTCACCTCTAGCTAAGTGTTGGCCTTGATCTCGCGCAAATTGTGATTTCAATAGTTTGTGAGATTCAAGAGACACATTCATTGGAGGAAACATGAGCGTGAACGTGCACCTTCATGTAGCTGGGTAACAGTTACTCGGGTCGACAAACCACACAAGTTGTAATTTCCATGCTAAGATGCACTCGGTGTGGATATGAACACACGCATGTGCGCACTCAGCTAAGGTCAGCATAATTATAACTGTATGCAGCATTCGCATGGGCAAGATATTCATACTTTCGTGGTGATCAAGGGAGGGATTATTTCGGAAATATCGACATGTGCGTATAGCCACTTGCCACATGTCACACAACTATTTTTGATTCTGTAAAGACGGTTGAAGGAAATGGGCTGGGGGACTTCTCGCTAGTTTCTCATTCCCGAGGCCATCTCGGGGAATAGCTCAGCCAAGCTAAGCTATTCAGCACTAGTGTGCCAATCAAGTGGTTGGGTTACTCCGGTTACTCCCACTTACCATGTGAACTCTCTTGCGTTGGTAGTTATCAGTCACTGTCATCACTGTCTGCCATGAGTTGGTCTCCTCCGCCAATGCTTCGATAGTATAGTCTTTCACTGTCTCTGGCATTGGCTCACCCCAGATCATCTTGGATTGATCCTCGGCACTAATGCTGAACGTGAAGAACCTATGCAAGCCAGTATCAAACACAAGCTCCACCTATAACCCCCCCCCCCCCCACACACACACATACACATACACCAACAGATACATGTATGCATGCACACATGCACACACATCATGTACGACAAACATACACACAGTCATGTCACGCATGGTGCGTGCGCACACACACATGCATACACACACACACACCCACACACACCCACACGCACACACGCACGCACGCACGCACGCACGCACACACACACCAAGATACACGTCATACACATACCGTAAAGTTCCGTGTATACGCCCACTCGAAATAACGCCCATGCCCGAAAACCGCCCAGGGTGATGCTGTACCTGTGTATGCGTATGTGTGCAAAATGTTATGCATGCTTATGAAATCGCAAGCGATGCAATATGCACCTTGTATAGGCCCAGTCCGGAAATAACACCCATGCCCAAGTATACGCCCAGTTTTCAGACCCTTGTTCTGTATACGCCCGGGGCTTATTTACGGAACTTTACGGTAATCTATTCAAAAGTGGAGAAACCATTACCGGTAATGCTCTACATTGTTTGACTTGTACTTGTAGTACAATGCACTCTGACACTGTCTACTGCAGTACACTGTGACACTGTCTACTGAAGTAGGTCCAATGTAGGTCCAATGGAGGTCCAATGGAGGTCCAATGGAGGTCCAATGGAGGTCCAATCTTATTCCTCGTTGTGTTTTCATTATTGTGTGTTAACGCCCACGGGTTGCCCTGCTCTTCCTCTTCTCTCCTATCACTGGAGTTGTTCAGCATACGCCGCAAAGCCGTGTACTGCAACATCTTGCTGGTTTCTTCAATATGAACATGCAAATAGTGGTGCCCCTATTGCCTCCACCCCCCCCCCCCCCGGACCGACTACTGGCTTCTGATGCGGCATGAAATCTGACGCTACAGTGTGCCCTTCTAAAAACAATTTTATAATTTTCCTGTCTGAAGTACAGTGTTATGTTTCTGAATGGGTACTATTCAGTATTCACATACCTGTCCCACAGACGCTATCGGCTCCTTGAATGTCAGCGTGAGTGTAGCTGGCAAGCCGTTGCTACACATGGACACCAGTGCATGAGCACAAAAACACACACACAGCACACACACAGCACACACACAGCACACACATACACACACAAAACACACACACACAAAACACACACACACAGAGCACACACACACACGCACACACACACACAACATTCGGATCACACACACACGTGCACGCAAAACACACACGCATACGGATACCACTTCAGGCGCGTGCTCGGCGGGGGGCACGGGGGGCACGTGCACCCCCCCCCAAAATTTTCAATCTGGGTTTTGAAAAAAATAATACTGCACCTCGGATGTGACACGTACGTACACATGCAAACGGCCTTCATGTACACGTACAGCGCAAACAAGAATTTTGCACGTAGATCTACACTGTGCACAGCATAAACATTACCTTGCGACAGCTAGTACAGTCGGATTCTTTCCCGGTTTCGATTTCTTGCTTTCAGGTCTCTGGATTCTTTGATTTCTTTCCTGAAGTATGGGTATCTGACTATGACTGAGCTGCTCTTTTCATAATGTCAAATCGAGCGCCGTCATTGAAGTCATTGCGCAAAGCTTCCACGCTGCCGCAGCTAACTCTAAGTGAAGCGTTCGGTCGTTCTGCAACTGTTGCTGCGGGAGCTGTTGCTGCAGCGAAAAAATCTGATAATATTTCCTCGAGTGGCGATGAGGGTTCTTCAAGAGGTGAAGAGTCAGACGAAGTGGTAGTAGTTGAAGAGGTCGCAGGAGAAGTAGCCCAGGCTGCCGGGTCTACCGCGGTGGATAAACCCGACGAGGTTGATGTAGTCGCTTCAGGCGGCACTCCAAACGACATTGGAGAAGGCTACAACCTTGCATCACAAAAGTGGACCTGTTTGCCGTCATCGTTGTCCTCTGATGAGAAGTGTCGCTTGGTCGACCACCACTTTGTGCCAGGGCCGAAACACGACTTTCCTGTCCACACAGGAAATGATGGCAGAAACCGTCGTTTTCGTCACCAGTGGCTAGAGGACAACACGTGGCTGGTCTATTCACCCAAATGCGACGGGGGTTTCTGTCTTCCGTGCCTCCTATTTCCCAGTGGTGCGGATCAGGGACAGCTCACAGCAAGACCTATGTCCAACTTCAAAAAGGCCACCACTTTGCTGGACAAACACGGCTCACAGGCAAACCCACAAAGACGCCGTTGCCAGGCAGGGCCGGTTCAAAAAGGTCGTGTCTGCTGGGATCCAAGGCAATTGTAATGTATGCGAATATGCTCTAAAATTCAAGAAAGGTTGCAAACAAATTGCAGAAAATTGCCGGGGGGGGGCTCCCCTCGGCTCCCGTGCACCCCCCTAGTTGGGGGGCCGAGCACGCCCCTGCCACTTGTACCAACACAGAGTGGGGAGTGGGGAGTGGGAGTGGGAGAGTGTGTGTGGGGGGGGGGGGGGGCGGGGGTAGCCAGCCATGAGCAGAGAAAAAGGAGGACAAGAACAATGCAACACACCTACTAGTTTGGTAATGTACACAGCTATGACATGTACAGCAGCAACGGGGACTGACAGCCTTACAGTCTGACATTCTTACCTAATCCATCGGTTAGTACCAGGCAAGCACTGTGATGTCATACAACCACCCTTGCCAAACACAGCACGCGTTTGACCGGAGATGACTTCCTTTGCAGCTCCCGTATCCTGCTCCCTGTAACCAAAGGAACATATGGCCAACGACAAAATTATACAGTCCAGAACAAATTACCGCACACACAATACAAATGGGCCAAGTGCAGCATGTCTCGCGTTGAGAAGTTCATGGATTCAACCAATAATATGCGCTATGTATACCGAGTAAGTCGCTAGTGCATCGCACGCTAGTGAATCGCTGTGCTGCGACTTTGCCAAGGCATCTTAACTGTCGACGTAATCGCATAACAACCTCTCTAGTCATTGTTAGGTCAATGAGGTCATCATGGATAGTGTCATACAAAGTGTGATTGGCAGGTCATCATGGATCATGTAATACAGCCTGCGTATCCACTTACGAGCTAGCAGAGACTGTAGCAGTCAAGGCTTTGTCTCGCGGATCTTGGTTCACTTGACCAGGAACAAACTGGTCGTCTCTCAGCAATTGCTGTACATGATTGGGTACAGTTTAGAACAAGAAGAAGAGTTGATACAGTCAATGCCGATTTGCATGTGTACATGGTGTCGCAGAGTCTAGAGGAAAAGAAGTGAGTGTGTTCTCATGTCACAATCTCATCTAGCCCATCACTGCCCGCATACACATGGCTAGTGTCATGACTGTAGTCTCTCACCCTACTACCCGCACTGGTCACTTTGCCAATGCCATTACAGCCAGTCCCTTAGCATACAGTGGACCCATGCTACACTTACAGCCAGGTCGTGACCATCATAAGGAAGAGTGCAGTGTGATTACAATCAAGCCATCACACCATACCACAGGTCATGATATTGTGTCGGGACAACTGGCACTGCATTCATATCCAGTCCTGATGCTCACATACCAAAACACGATGTTAATTCTCCATGCCAACACTGCCATTGCATGTGCATGCCACTACCATACTATGGTGCTGTGTGGGTAATGTGTGTGTGGGTGATGTGTGTGTGTGTGTGTAATGTGTGTGTGTGAGTAATGTGTGTGTGGGTGATGTGTGTGTGGGTGATGTGGGTAATGTGTGTGTGTGTGTGGGTAATGTGTGTGTGTGTGATGTGTGTGTGGGTGATGTGTGTGTGTGGGTGATGTGTGTGTGGGTGATGTGGGTAATGTGTGTGTGTGTGTGGGTAATGTGTGTGTGTGTGATGTGTGTGTGGGTGATGTGTGTGTGTGGGTAATGTGTGTGTGGGTAATGTGTGTGTGTGTGTGTAATGTGTGTGTGTGGGTGATGTGTGTGTGGGTGATGTGTGTGTGTGTAAAGTGTGTGTGGGTGATGTGTGTGTGGGTGATGTGTGTGTGGGTGATGTGTGTGTGGGTGATGTGTGTGCGGGTGATGTGTGTGTGCGGGTGATGTGTGTGTGAGTAATGTGTGTGTGGGTTGAGTGCCATGGCCCAGTGCCTACCTGTTGGATACTCCAGATGGCATCGGGATTGCTGCAAACATCATGCGGTGTCATCATGTGCAGAGCAGCATATGCGGCGGCAGTACCAGCACCTTGACCATGCTGTAAGAGAAACACAGTAAACAGACATACACAGTACCAATACACCGTCAATAGGGCGTGACAGTAGCATATGTACTGATGTAAAGTACCAATGCACACTGACTGAGTCAGTACATACCAGTACCAGTACCAGTACCATTACATGTACTTGTAGTGACTGTGTTGTTGTTGTTGTTGTTGTTGTTGTTGTTGTTGTTGTTGTTGTTGTTGTTGTTGTTGTTGTTGTTGTTGTTGTTGTTGTTGTTGTTGTTGTTGTTGTTGTTGTTGTTGTTGTTGTTGTTGTTGTTGTTGTTGTTGTTGTTGTTGTTGTTGCTGCTGCTGGTATACTGTAGGCCGCAGAGTTGACATACATCATTTATCATGAAATACTAGAAATCAATACCCAACACCAACAGTTATTCGAGGTTTCGCTGTCAGAGACCCCAGCAATGCTGCACATGCAGAATTGCACACTCTTGGGAGTATATTGGCTCTTAGCGTAACCCTCTATGCACGGGCTCCATCTCATACCGTAACAACAATACAATGTGTCATGTGGTTATGATTGGACATGCCGTACTTCTACGCTCCACTCAACCCCCCCCCCCCCCCAGATTCCTGCTCAGATTCACCCGGGGTTGTTGCACTGGGCAGCAGAGGTTGCACTGGACAGCGGAGGTTGCACTGGACATTCTCATGACTGGTATGGGAAGGTGGGAAGGTGGGAAGGTTTCCACTGAAAGTGTGTATGGAGTACAACAGGACGAAACGACATAAGAGATGCCCGTAACATGACGGGTTAATGCTGTTCTAATGTACACCCCTGAATATGGATGAGCCGTGTGGCCACCTTGGGTTGTTCCTGCAATGTACTGCAATGTACTGCAATGTACTGCAATGTACTGCAATGTACTGCAATGTACTGCAATGTACTGCAATGTACTGCAATGTACTGCAATGTACTGCAATGTACTGCAATGTACTGCAATGTACTGCAATGTACTGCAATGTACTGCAATGTACTGCAATGTACTGCAATGTACTGCAATGTACTGCAATGTACTGCAATGTACTGCAATGTACTGCAATGTACTGCAATGTACTGCAATGTACTGCAATGTACTGCAATGTACTGCAATGTACTGCAATGTACTGCAATGTACTGCAATGTACTGCAATGTACTGAACATTGCTAGTATCAGAACCAATTATGTTGTGGGCTAACAGCCACACCTCAAAATACTCTGCTTTCGACACTTTACTCAAAATACTCTGCTTTCGACACTTTACTCAAAATACTCTGCTTTCGACACTTTACTCAAAATACTCTGCTTTCGACACTTTACTCAAAATTCTTTTATTCATTTAACGTTTGTCAGTGTAATTTGAGGTGTAGCTGTTAGCGGCCCACGGCATAATTGGTCATGATGAAGCTGCCAAGAAGCGTCCAAACTCATCTTGTTAGTATCATATTGTTACTAACGTACCGACATCAAGGACCCCCCCCCCCTTCTCCCCCTCCAGGTAGCACACAGGGTTCATGTTGCCATAGCACCCAAATTCACCCACTCACCACACAGCAGGTTGCCATGACGCGCTGTGATCCAAACGCTACATGTGTGAAGCTAGCTAGTCTACCAGCCATCATCATGTTGCTGACATCAGCTGACACAAAGCATCTCAACGGTGTGCCATAGATGTACGGGACATAGGTGTTTGAATAGGGCGGTCTGGCTGGATCATTGATACCTGTACATGTTGCACAGCAAAAATGCAACTTATTAAATCATTAGATTTTAGAAGGTACTCTCCATCAGAAGCATGGGTCTGGATGAAAGCCCCTCTGCAAACACAGCTGACTATGACATGACCTAGCTAGCTGGCTGTGTAGTGGTAGAGTAGCACATGACCTAACTGTCAGGTAAAGGAGGTAGTGTGTTTACGTGTGTGACTAATATAAAAGGGTGGCAGAGCATGCATGTTCACTTTGGACAGTTTAGGTCATGCACCGCTGTGATGCGCCGCTGTCATACAGCATCCATGCCTATGTTATTAGTCAGACCCGCTGGTCTATACCCTAGACATTCAGCGGATATATCCAGCATGGCCTTGGACCAGGACTTCTACACAGATTTAATCATATAAAAATAAAATAAAAATTTCACGCTTCGACTCGGCTGAAGGCCGAGTTTTACGCATCTGCAGGAACGCCATCACCCTTCATGGATCAAGGCGCAGATGCAGCTCCTAAAGTGGTGGGAGGTGAGTAGAACAGACCCACTACAAAGTGGTTTAATCATAAACTGCTACATTACTAGTCCAGATCATAGGCATATCAATAAAGAACTAAGATTAGTGGTGTGGAGAGAGTTCAGTGCACTGCTGGATAAGACTTATTGACTCGTTCCACGGTCATGGAATACACACTCAGGATGATGTAATCACACTCAGGATGATGTCATCATGTGACTAACCTTGGGGATCATGCAAGTCAATACCCCAACCACTGTGGCACACGGCGTCTGAGAACGACGTTGGTGTTGGAACTATATCATTCTGTGTTTGCACATACAGGCCTTTGATGCGACGGGCTTCACGTTTGCATGGTAAATAGCCTGGGCGGAATAACACATTACAATCGACATGGAATAGGAAAGTTATTTAGGTAAAGAAAGAAAGAGCAAATTCATTCACCTTAGAACCACACACATTCATAGAACAGAGCTGTTATCCACCCTAAGCAAGGTTTTTGTCCCTCACTCAAGAAAGGATGTACAGTAGGAGAGGGGGGGGGGGGATGATAAAATAGTTTGATGTTCATTGTTCTTTAGTTGCCAGGGGCGTCGGAAGGAGTTTTAGTGTGGTACAGTAAGCCATCTGAAATACAATTTACTCGTGGGGGGGGGGGGTGCTGAGCCGAAAATTTTGGAACTTTAGAACCTAGATCAGTGTATTTTCTTGATTCACGTGGTACCTGGGGAAAGGTGGTACAATCAATACCATAGTGAGCATACTGTGTGTGCCGCCCCTGGTTACATTTGTGGTATTCTCTTGCCCCATGATAGTGAATCAATCTATTTGCTTTGGTAGCTAAAATGTCACCAAGTGCAGATTGTAACATGCATTCAAAGGTGAATGACCAACCTACTAAGATGTGTAGTGTCGTCTCGGAAGGTTGAGAACGAACTGCCTCTTCTATCCTCGCCACGCCACACCTCAAAACGAACTAGTCAGTGGTTTTTCTCTAGAGCTAGAGAGAGAGCTTTTCATAGTTTACTTCAAGCGGCGACGGAAGAACTCATAATGGAGAACTAACACTGACAACGAATGACTGACGACTGTCAACAAACGTCTGACTCTGACAACGAATGACTGACAACTGACGACGACCGTCGGACAACTGACGGCGAACATGGCAAAAGGAAAACATGATATCAGAAATTGGTGCCCTCGTCAGCACAAAAGGTGGTGTACTCAGCACAAAAAGGTGCACGTGTCAACAACAAAGCAGCGCAGCAGCATGTACGGGTCAGCAACAAAGCAGCGCAGCAGCATGTACGGGTCAGCAGCACAAAGACACAAATACAGCAGCAGCTACGGCGAAGAGATAACACGTGCAGGCGCAGGTACAACACTATCCCCTACCAAAAAAAGACATCCACTCCCGTGGATGGAAGCAAAAGTGAAGTGTATAAAAAACGGAAGGAGACAGACCGGAGAAGAAGACAGAAAGACAGGGGAAATGAAATATGAAGCAACATAAACAGGCGACAATAAAACACAAAAGAGGTGGGCCACAACTGTTGAACGCATGACGAGTAGGCCAGGAGGGTTAACACCAGTCGGGAGCCCCGCAAAACTGTGCACCAATCAACGGAACCTGCAAGCAACAGATTTTGCAAAGGACCCCGGCTGGCGAGCTGTTCGACCTGTGTTTGTCCCTTTGGATCTTTTATTCTTAGAACAGCACCAACCTAGTACGCCACCCATCCACCAGTCATGACAAAACAAAAGTACAAATGCATGAGAAAACAGGTTATGCCGACGGACCCAGCGACGCTTCCAGGAGCGGCGAGACCGACAGTACGCACCGACCGAGAAGACTGGGGCAGCAGGACGCACACTGGCCGGCTGTCCGAAAACCGATGGCGCTACAGAAACTCCGAGAATCACAGGACACACACAGAAAGAGAGAAGGACTGACGCAAACATCTCAGCCATCACCAAAAATCAGTAAAGCACACGAAGGAAGGGAAGAACAGCCAGGAAGAACACGTCGATTGAAACAGGAACAATTAATCAGTGAGGACACCATTGAGGACACACAAACAAATCGGTTACCAATACGCAAAAGATAATGAAGAAAAACCACAGGGCGCTACCCTGAATAACCACAGGTCTCTAACCTGAAAAAACCCACAGGGATTGAACCTGAAAAAACCACAGGGATTGAACCTGAATAACACGGAACTTATAGTACATCCGCTCACAAAACCGAAAAACCGAAGAAAAAAAACTGTCCGGCACCGACTGGGACACACAAGGGCCAGCCAGCAACACACGGAAACCATAACACCCGCAAGGCAAACCGATACAAAAAAGCGCAGGATCCCTGCAGACCACCAAGCAGACCGTGGCTCACCATGATCAGACGCCCACCCAGGCGAACTAGAGAAACCCACATGCCGAAACACAATTATTACAAAACCACACGCTCACCAAAAAATTCAACCTGGATCAAGAACTTACGCGAGAATCCTACATGAAGTTCACACCTCCCACCAAACCGGAAGCCAACAGCTTTCCTACTTTGTTGACAGTGCATGACCGAGCCTGACAACGCTCTACACCATGTACACAGAACATGGAGAAACGACTAAAACGGTAAAAACACGAAACAAAACAATATGGATCGACTACATACGAGGCAGCACCTCGAGAACGTTCAGGTGGACATCTAAACAAATCACGCGACACAGTCACACTATCGGAGCAGTCCGACGGCAACTCCGTGACAAGCACAAGTGCACAACACAAGACGAGGTCAAAGCTACCCATGCTGAATGCACGACGAACATGCAAACACAAGTTCCAGATTCGAACGAGTAGCGCACGAACAGAAGTTTGAAATTTTCATACACAACAGTACAGTACAGGGTAGTCAGAGCGACACAACTAACACAACGGGGCGAACTAATTACGAGCAGCAAGACTACACTACGAGTTACACACTCGAACACAAGAGAACAAGGTTCCACGGAATTCCTGCCGGGACCCGCTTACCCGAGTCACCCGACGCAAAACAATTATTTGAAAATTCGAAATCGAATACAAGGTACGGCAACACATTACGCAGAGCAGACAATTACAAAGGCATGCTCACCTGAGTAGGAGCTCCGAGGATCTTGGAAAGGGTTGAACAGACGCAGCAAAGCGGAGCCATGGCGAGAACGCGAAGAGGAAAACGAAAAACACCGGCCGGAGAGCGACGAGCTTCAGGGTCGTGGGTTCGATTAGTTGGGCGCCAAATGTCGTCTCGGAAGGTTGAGAACGAACTGCCTCTTCTATCCTCGCCACGCCACACCTCAAAACGAACTAGTCAGTGGTTTTTCTCTAGAGCTAGAGAGAGAGCTTTTCATAGTTTACTTCAAGCGGCGACGGAAGAACTCATAATGGAGAACTAACACTGACAACGAATGACTGACGACTGTCAACAAACGTCTGACTCTGACAACGAATGACTGACAACTGACGACGACCGTCGGACAACTGACGGCGAACATGGCAAAAGGAAAACATGATATCAGAAATTGGTGCCCTCGTCAGCACAAAAGGTGGTGTACTCAGCACAAAAAGGTGCACGTGTCAACAACAAAGCAGCGCAGCAGCATGTACGGGTCAGCAACAAAGCAGCGCAGCAGCATGTACGGGTCAGCAGCACAAAGACACAAATACAGCAGCAGCTACGGCGAAGAGATAACACGTGCAGGCGCAGGTACAACAGTAGCAGCCAGCACGGTGGTGACAACTCGAGAGAAAAGTGCAAGTGTGTATGCAATAGTAAAGCTACCAACGGATCAAAAGTTGCGGCAAATCATGATCAGTAGTGATGGAGATAGACAATTTGTTCCATGGGGTGGAGGATGAACGAAAGTCAGAGTGAAGCCTCTGACTCTGAGCATCACCGATGAGACTTACCAAACCAGTCGAGAGCCCAGTTGGTTGTTTCCTGCGGCATCTCACCACTGTTCTTCATGTAATCCCAGATGCCAAGCATTGCCTCCAGCAGGTTTTCAGCAATGGCACCGCCGTCACTCACAGTGTCCCAGGGCCAAGACATTTCCACCCACCAGAAACCTGCAAGTGCACACACATAGTACTGATAGTGTAGTACGCCTTGAGCACGTGACACACACAATCCGCTCAGCTAGCTTGCAGAGATATACCGTATACTGTATACCGTATACCAGTAGAAAAGCAATGTGACTGATACAGTAGCTCATGGCCAGTAGCCAGTAGCTGGTAGCTGTAGTGTATGTGTAGGTGCATGACATCATTATTGTGTGTACACCAGTCCGCATGCGCGGTCTCTGAATCTGCATAACTTCTAGTGGAGCGGGGTTCTTTTCCCGCGTCTTGCTTGCTTTCGGACTGTTCTTCCAGATGTACTTGTAATGGTAGTTTTCTCCGACCCTGTGATTGTGCTTTGCTGAACCCGATATAACAAGTGGCGACGAAGATGGGATCATGGCGCTGCTCGGAAACCTGGGCCCCTTCACATCTACGGATGCTGATGACTGGGAGTCTTATCTGGCCAGGCTGGATCAATTCTACAAAGCGAATAAAATTGAGGACGGGCGGAAGAAATCTGTATTCTTGACAGTTGTAGGAGAAAGTGTTTTCAGGTTGCTAGTGACGCTGATCGCACCAGCAACACTGGATGACAAGTCCCTCTCAGAGCTGCGACAGACTCTGACTGCACACTTCTCCCCTAAGCGTCTGACAATTGCGGAACGCTACAAATTTTGGAGCCGCAGCCAGCAGGCAAGTGAGAGTTATCATGACTATGCCGCTGAGCTACGACGTTTGGCAAAGACCTGTGACTTCGGCAATGGTCTGGAAGATGCCATCCGCGACAGGTTCGTCTGTGGCATACGAGACGCTGTCGTTTGTAAAAAATTGCTGACCATCGATGCCCTCACTTTGGAGACTGCTCTGAAAACGGCTGCAGCTCAGGAGGTGGTCGATCGCGAGGCTGCGCGCTTGATGGCCGCGGGTAGATCTACCTCCGAGTCCAGCGATGTCCATGCCGTTTGGCACAAGAGACAGCCACCTGCACCTAGACAGCGAGGCAAGTCCGGAGCCAGCGCTAGCAGCACTACTGACGGGGCTGCGCCTTGTTATCGCTGTGGCAATAAGGACCATGCTCCTTCACAGTGTCGCTTCAAGGCTTCCGAGTGCCACTACTGCCACAAGCGTGGGCACCTCGAGAAGGTGTGTCGTGGAGCAACCAATCGCATACGCCAGCCGCTCTTTGACAACCAGCGAGCGCAATTATAGCCAACTGGAACGAGAAGCGCTTGCTATCGTGTTCGGTGTCACCAAGTTCCACTTGTACCTCTATGGACGGCACTTCAACCTGGTGACCGACAACCGCCCTCTTGCCGTAATCTTCGGTCCAAAGAGAGGCATCCCCTCAATCGCAGCCATGCGGTTGCAGCGTTGGGCTGTAACACTATCAGCGTATCAATACGATGTGATGGTAAAGACGACTGAAGCCAACGCCAACGCTGATTACCTGTCACGCATGTCGCTTGATTCGCATAGCGTTGATGTGTGTGAGGTGTCTGAGATTCTGACGACTCACCAGGATCAGCTGCCAGTCCTCGCAGCAGACATCAGTGCAGAGACGGCCAAGGACATCGTGCTCAAGCAGGTACTGCAGCATGTCGCCAATGGTTGGCCCGAGACTGTCCCCTCAGAGCTGAAGCCCTTCCACCGCATCGCAGAGGAGCTCACAGTAGTGCAGGGCTGCCTTCAGCGAGGATTTCGCACTGTGGTGCCCAGCACGCTTCAGCCCCGGCTCCTTCAAGAGTTACACATTGCACACCCTGGTGTTGTGTATCGTGTCGGAGAAAGGTCTTCTGGGGTGTCGTCGAGATCTCGTTGCGACCGTGACTCCTGCTTGTCTCCCTGGCTAGGTGCTGCTTGCTTTGCTTTTTGCGTAGTGTTTTTGATTATTGTTTACTATTGCGTATTGTTAGTGTTCGTTGTGATTTGGTACAGTACTTGTTACGAGATACGACACATTGTGTAGTGTGTGTTTGCAGCACGAAGAAGACTGCACACCAGAACGGTTAGCTCAGGAGCTTGGGCTTACCTTGTGCAATCACAGTTCATCAGCTTGGACATTGCGCTTGGTCCCATGCGAATAACCGACTAGAATAGTAATTATTTCTTCGTTGCATTTTTGAATTGTGTTCTTGCTAGCTCGTTGATTTATTTAGTTGATGTGTTGATTTGTGTTTGATTACTTATTTATTTGATGCGCGATTTATGTGCGCTGATTGCGTGATGGCATGCAATTATGATCATGCTTGCGCCAGCTAGCTAGATGCCTGCGCCGCGCACTGATGTTGAATGAGTTAGCATGCGCCCCGCGCTGTTCATGCATATATGGTACATGGTGTGTAATGTTTGCCGCACACGCGTATAGGTGCCGCGCCTCGTACTGCTCATGTGCCTCGCGCCGTACTATTGCTGTCGCTTTGCCAAATTTAGCTTCCGCTTTCCGAGCGCTGTACGCTCTTCTGTACGCTCATGCCAAAGTTGGACGCACGTTGTGGCTGGCCAGCGCTTTACCCCTCATGCGTTGTTCTTTTCCTTGATGCTGTGGTTTGTTTTCTTTAGTGTTCTAGAGTTCTCTTTCCGATGTAGTTCGTATTTTTCCAGTCTCTTCTTCTCAATGTATTCTACTGTTCATTCATTATAGTCCGTAAAGAATTACGTGACCTTTTGTCTTGTGGCGTCTGTGCGATCCTGAAACTTTTGAGGTGTTAGTAGTGAACACAACATTTTGGCGACCACGCCAGGATCGAGACGCGTGAACATGGATGAGGTAGAAGCGAAGCTGATCGCAAATGGTCAAGCTTATGGCTACACTGGAGAGGCATTGCGTACTTACGTAGAGGAGCGTATCGAGAAGCACGAGGAGAAAGTGCGTGCAGACAGAGAGCGCGAAGAACGAGCAGGAAGTAGATTGGAAAGGAAAGATGACGAGCAGCTGCTTGCGAGGATTGCAGATTTGGAGTTGCAAGTCCAGCACACACGAGAGACTCAGAGTGATGAGAGCACTTTGTTGAATACGACGAATGGCAGTTTAGCGAGCAAGAGGGCTGCCATCAAGATGCCGAAGTTCGACGGTAAGCAGACTGTTGAGACCTATCTCGAACTGTTCGAGGATGTGGCAAAGCAAAATGAGTTCAGCGACGACGAGTACCTGATCCGCTTGCGCGTGGCTGTTGCTGGCAGCAAGTTGGAAGATGCATGCTATGGCTGCAACACCTTTGCCGAAGCGAAGCGCGAGCTGCTGATGGCGCATGGGAAGACCGCCGACAAAGCGTGGCAAGCCCTGATGGCCATACAGCAGAAAAGTGATGAGAGTTTCTACCAGTTTGTGGTACGAGTGACGCGCGAGACGGAGAAGTGGGCAAAACTCGCCAGGCCTAGCCGTACCTCTAGCCGCGGACAAATCGGTGAGCTGGACGACACTGAATTGTTCGGATGTGTCGTACGTCAAGTCCTGCTAGAAGCTGTGTCGGCAGAAACTAAGGCCTTCTTGATCGAGAAGAGATGTTACACGAAGGACTTGAAGGCGTTTGCGGAGGATGGTACGGCTTACCAAACAGCCCACGGACGTAGCAAGCTGAAGCCTGCCAAGTCTAGCACCAGCGACAAACGTATACCGTTTGCGTCGGCAGAGTGTTTGACGGTCAGCGTTGATGAGGCTAACAAGAAATTGTCAGCTATGGCGTCTGAGCACCGAAACGCGTACGTCAAGGCAGAGGGACTGTGTTTCAACTGCCTGAGACCAGGACATCGAGTGATGAATTGTCAGAACAAGGGTCGTTGCAAGCACTGCAACAAGCGACACCACAGTCTACTGCACAGAGAGGACAAACAGGTAACATCCGAACCGATAGCCGAATCGAAAGTCGGTACGTATGAATGTAGTGCAAACAGCGTGCACTTGATGACCGGCGTGGCTGAGGTACAAGGACCTAGCCGAAAGGCCAGTGTACGCATATTCATCGACCCAGGTGCGCAGGCATCGTTCATCACCGCGCCACTGGTGAACTCGCTGCAACCGGCACACCTTGGATCGCAAACTGTCAGGCTGAAGGCGTTTGACGTGGAGCCGAAGTTTGAAAAGATGGACAGGTACCGTGTCACCATCAAGGGTGCAACGAAGTCCATTTCCGTCAATGCCTGGCAAAAGAAGTCGCTAGGTCTCCGATTCGATCCGCTAGCAGACAGCACAATTGCACGTTGGCAGTCAAAGGGATTGCAGCTGTCTGATGACTCGACAAAGGCCGGATCAAGCGAAGTGCACATGCTGATTGGAGCTGACTACTGCAATGAGTTCCTTCTCCGCAAGGAGCAAATCAATGGAGAGACGGCCTGGCACACTGAAATAGGCTGGGTGCTGTCAGGACCGGCTAATAGTGAAACCAAGTCAGCGACCGTCAGTGTGAGTTGTATTGAACTTGACCGACTGTGGAAGATGGAAGAGGTGCCGGAAATAGCTGAGACGTTACTGGACTTCCCGATAGAGCGGCAAGGCCCTCATTACCAAGTGGGATTGCTATGGCGATCTGAGAAGCGTCCGCCAGCCAACCTCAACCAAGCGATGGCAGCGGCACACTCACTGCTGAAGCAGCTACAGAGACGAGGTCAACGTCCAGCGTATGATGACGTCCTCATCACTGAGTACTTGAAGCTGGATGCCATTGAAAAGGAACCGCATCCGGAGGAAGCCGGCTATTACATGCCGCATCATGCCGTATTCCGTAGCGACGCCTCAACGACGAAGACACGGGTCGTCTTCAATGCATCCGCCGCCTGCACCGGAGCACAATCCCTAAACGACATGGTCGATCCCGGGCCATCACTCCTACCGGATCTCACTGGTATCCTCCTCAGGTTCCGTGAGTATGAATGTGCTGTACAAGCCGATATTCGCAAGGCTTTTTTTATGATCGGAATGCGTGAAGAAGATAGGCCATATCTGCGTTTTGTTTGGCCTGAGATAGGTAGCGAAGAAATGTGTATCTGGCGTTTAAAGAAGCTGCCTTTTG